ACCAAAGAAAAATTTGCCCAGTAACGTGCATTTTCAATGCTGCCACTTTTGGGGTCTATTTTGATCACTTGTGAATTTGATTTTACACCAGAACAAGGATCTAGAATCACTCTAAATTTAGATTAACTTTCAAAATCAATTCAATTTCCCTCCCATTTTCTATTCCTAATCCCATTCCAATTTTCATAACCTCACTCCAAACCACATTTGATCCCAAACCTAGAGCATATTTAAGTGAATTTGCTCCAAACCTCAAGGAATAATCCTCACAATTACATTTCATTTTCAAATTTCACTCTCACTCTTGAAATTTTCTCTCCATTTTTTCACTCACAAAACCTCCATTAGAGCTCTCACTTGAGTTCCTTAATTATTCATTAGAATCATAGAATTCTAGAGCTAAACCTCCATCTTTCATCTCCATTATCTCCAATTCACCATTCAATTTTCGTTTGGATTTGGGTCTGAATTTGGAAGCTAATTTGGAAGTGCTTATTTGGATCGTTTTTGCTTTTATCTTGCTTGATCTTCATTTCTACAACAAGAAAGTTCTTGGATCTTGAAGAATCTATGGGTTTCTTGCTTGGATCTGCTCATTTCAATTGAATGAACATTCACCAAAGCAAATCTCGGCTTTGTAGGTTGGCAATTCTAGATCTAAATCTGTTTTGAGCTTATTTGGATAATCACAATGTAGATCTTCATGTTTTGATTGATTTTGTTGATTTCGATCTTGGTGATTCGTGATTTTGATGCTTGATTGTGTTTGCATGATGCTTGATCACTGATTTTTGGTGTTAAATTCGTGCATAATTGATTACATAATCATTTGGATGATTGCACATTGAATTAATTGTTGAAAGTGCTTTTGAATTGCTGTTTTTCTGCTTCTGGTGCAATGTTAACGGGTTAACTAGTTGCAGTGCAAACTGGTTAACGGGTTAATCAGTGCAATTTCCAAAATTTTCAGGTGGTTAACGGGTTAACCAGTTGCAGTGCAAACTGGTTAACGGGTTAACTAGTGCAATTTCCAAAATTTTCAGGTGGTTAACGGGTTAACCAGTTGCAGCGCAAACTGGTTAACGGGTTAACTAGTGCAATTTCCAAAATATTCAGGTGGTTAACGGGTTAACTAGTTTGCACTAGAAAGGGTTAACCAGTTAACACTGGACCAGAATGTATTTTTTTGTTGTTGTTTTCAAGCATGTTTTGATTTCTTTTCGCCTTTAACCTTCATGGATTGGTGTGATGCATTTATGTGGTTTATTTTTGACATTTTTCCTCATCCTTGGATGTATACTTTGTGCCACAAGTTTTCTTTGGATCATGTCTTTCCACTAGTTCAAAGTGTGAGATAATTGTTTGAACTTTGGTTCTCCAATGTGACATGATCATTCTTGTGCTTGCTTGTTATTTTTACTTTGAATTTGGATCATTCCATTTGTGGTTCACTTCTGCCCTTGGTGGTTAAGTGTTTGTTCTTGATGATGTTTCCACTTTGAGTTTGTCATAAACTTTTGTGATCCTTTTGCATTCCTCGTTTGCTTTATTTGCTTGGTCTTAAGAATTGTATGGTTGAGATGCGCTTGTGGTGGTGGCTGCCCCACATTGTTTCCTCCCTCTTTTCTTTATGTGTGCTTCTTAGGATAACACCATTCTTTTGTGATGATTGATGGTTGATGGTTATAGGAGCTTGCTTCTCCCATTTCATCTAATCTCTTGTTGACTTGTTTAAGTCATTCTCTTAATGCCTTCTTGCATTTGTGTTTGCATTTCATGTTTGCATCTCTTATTGCATTGACTTGTTTAAGTCACTTTCATCTTTCATTTCTTTTCATTTGTGATTGAATTGTTTTGTGTTTACTTGGTCTTTTGCCATGATCCCTTAGGATTCCTAGTCCCGCTGTTTAAGATGGTAGTAGGAGAGGCATTAGGTGTTCAATCCTTTGCATGATAACATTAGGATAACATTCCCTCTTTTAATCCCAACTTTATGAGCATTTTACATGATAACATTAGGGTTGATTTAGTTTCCCCTTAGAGTTTGTGTCTTCTCTTCTCATCTCCTAACTTTCATAAGACACTTAATAAAGGATAATAAATATTGTACGCTACGAGCATTAAGTACTTGTGGAATCATGGTTAGGGGGCCTCCTCTCATACTGTTTAGAGTGTTTAGCGTATGCCCTTTGGACGATATGCGACGCATTCGCTCTCAAGTCATAGTCTTTAGTGCAGCATGAGTTACAAACTTAACTCAATTCACTTCTTGTTTAAAAAACACAAAATAAAGCAACAAATCTTTTTATCCTTCGGGATTGTTTGCAAATCATTTTCAGAAAGAGTGTGTTAAATCTTGGCTCTACCGTAAACAGGCATCGTCCCTAACTGCTAGAATGAAGGTTTAACCCTACTCAGTTAAAACACTTAACCAACCAGCGATCGTGTTAGCCTGAACTATGTTTTCTCTGATTTCTCGTACCAGACGAGGATATGTAGG